AGTTGCTCAGTCGTGTCCGACTCGTTGCAATCCCTTGGACTGTAGCCTGCCAGGCTCCTCTGTCCATGGGATTCTCCAGGCAAGAATACTGGAGTGGGTTGCCATTTCCTTCTCTAGGGGATCTTCCCAACCCAGGGATTGAACCCTGGTCTCCCGCACTGCAGGCAGATGCTTTACCCTCTGAGCCACCAACTCCCAGGGCATGTGTAGGCTTGGTAATTGTTGTTGTTCAGTCACTCAGTTGTGTCCAACTATTTGCGACCACATGGACTGCACCATGCCTGACTTCCCTATCTTTTACCATCTCCTGGAGCTTGCTCAAACTCATGTCCATTGAATTGGTGATGCCATACAACCATCTCATCCTCTGTTGTCCTCTTCTCTTCCTGCCTTCAATCTTTCCCAGCATGAGGGTCTTTTCTAATGAATTAGCTCTTTGCATCAGGTGGCCAAAGTACTGCAGCTTCAGCTTCAGCATCAGTCCTTCCAATGAACATTCAGGATTGATTTCCTTTAAGGCTGACTGGTTTAATCTCCTTGGTAATATTTTCCCCCAAGTCCCTGGAGGCCTGTATTCCGCGGGGACTCTGGTCCGATCCAGAACAAAGCAGACAGCAGCTGTTTCAGAAGGGTTCAATGAAGAGCACCCTGCCAGGCTATCTCAAAGCCACCCAAGTCCAGCAGTGGGACCCAAGCCTGGTTAGGCTTCCAAGGATGGGATCGCAGCCCCAGTCAGCAGGATCGGGGTGAAGAAAGTAAGCACTGGTTTTCTTTCCTTCTCTTTAATATAACGCCCATGCTATGTTGCAGTAGAGTCAATTTATAATACTATGACTGTTGTCAGTGTACAGCTGCATGATTCAGGTATGATGTATCTAGGGGTGATCTGTATTCTTTCCTAGATTTTTCACTCTAGAAGTGGAGCAGATGGCTTAGCATCAGGTCCTTGAGGATTATGCGCCTCAGACTCAGTTTTCTGTGTATACAATGAGTGAAGGTGGGAGATAAGTTCTGTGGATACCCTCCTAGAGATACAAATTTCTGGGTATAGGTTAGAGATACTGATTTCTGTGTATATGTGCAAGGAAGGAAGGAAGAAGTGAAGAGGATGATCTACTGCAGATACAGAATTCCATGTCTTCCTGGTTTTTCCCTCCCTTCCCACCCCCCGCCCCCACCCCGCACCCTGTCTTGGGGACCTTTTCTTGGGCGTTGAATTCTCAGACTCTTTTCTGGTTGTAAATGTGTTAGTGTGTCAGTTTCTACTTTGCCTGGAAGGTACATCAGAGACTGTCTTCCTCTGCCTGATGCATTTCCTATAGTGTCTGACCCTTCAAAGTCTATCTGTGTGCCTGCCATTGTCAGAACTCCCTAATTTCAGTGGTGGATTTGTATGGCTGAACAATAGTCCATCGTATATATAGACCACATTTGGTACAAGCTTTAACCTCTTGGAGATTTTGTTGGTTGTCTGTCTTGGTTTTTGGAGTTTGTGCTTCAGTCTTGGTCAGGGTGCAGGTTCCTTTTGATCGATGAATTTCTCGGGATATAGGCCCAGGTGTGGGGATGCCAAGTCCTAGCATTAGTGCTTCTTGAGAGTTTTGTTTCAGGTATTCGGAGAGTGTCCATTGCACTGACAGTTGCCAACTTCCCCCCCCCCCACATACAGTGTAGGGGATTCATTTTCCTTCAGGTTCTCACCAGCGTGTATTCTTTGTAGACTTGTGAGGATGAGCATTGTGACTGATGAATTTGATTTCCCATTGTGGCTCTGATCGACATTCCTGCAGCAATTAAGGATGCTGAGTTTGGTTTCTTGCTGTGGAGGTTTGGGTGCATTTTGTTTTTCCTGAAGGGGTGTGAGGAAAATTTATTGGTGGCGGTTGACTTCCTGAGAATCAGTTGTGTCTGGAATCTATTTCTGCAATACTCACCCCAGGACATTTCCTGAAGTCAGCTGTCATTCACATAACCCCAGGCCTTGTGAATTCTAGGTGCCTTGAGTGCCCTGTGGTCAAGTTGTAGTTATAGGAAGTGTTCACAAGGTGGCAACACTTTTTCTTGCCCACCACTTGCTCCCCGGGGATGGGTGGGGTGGGTGGCAACCAGAGCCTAAGGCAAATACAGCTTCCTGGGATGTGAACTGAGGTGGAATGTGCCTAAGGAAATGCAGAAGGTCTTGGAATGGTCAATGGGAAAAATAATAGGACTCTATATCACCAAAAGTACCATGGAAAACTTCTAATCACTTTACAAAATCAGGAGCATATCAGAATTATCTTGGAATGTTTTGAAAAATACAAATGCCCAGGTACTGCTTTCTTCTTTGGCCAGAGACCCACATAAGTGTCTACTGAACAGAAATCTATGTTTAAACAGCTGAACTGTATGATGACTTCTTACGTTGACCTCATTTGTTTCACTTTCATATTTTCTCTTCAGAGCCCCCACGTCAGTTAGTTGATGTTCTCCAATCCCTACATCTCTCCTTTTTCTCTGATGTTCTTTCTCTAGCCCTCATCACCTGTAGTAGTAAAGCTTCTGTATCCATATATATGAATAATGTGTATATCTGTTTTAGAAACCTTATGAAATTTTGCCCTACTAGAATTTTTTTCACATTGTATTCCACTTGTTTGATGTAGTAGGAATAGGATACTACATTTTTAATTAAAAAAGAAAGATATATAAAAAAAAAAAAAGAAAGATATGCAACAAACAGCAAAGGTTTACATATAACACAGGGAACTATGGTCACTATGTTGTAATACCATGGAATGGATAATCATTTCAAAAATAACGTGTGTGTATATGGATCACAGAGTCAAATTGCTGTGAACATGAAACATTCAAAGTCAACTATACTCTGTCAAATATGGGAGTATATATTTAATATATATATGTATTAAAATTAACAAAAACACCCGTGGACTTGTTTCTCACTATTTCTTCCCCCTAAAGCATCACACACACAGCCCCCAGCGGACTAATTTCCCATGGGGTGAGGTGGCATGGGTGTGTTGTGGTCAAGGTGGGGAGCTCAGAGCAGGTGCTCAGTGGTAGGGGTTGGGGTAGGACAGGCCTGCGGGTCACAGTGCATCACTGGCCTCCACCCGTCTAGCCCTCACCTCCACATATGGGTAGAAGCTTTCCTGGCCACTCTTCTTCCAGTAGCCCTCAGGGTTGAAGGACAGCTTGTAGGTGCCTGCCTTCACCTGGCCTGGCGGCAGGAGCCCAGGGCAGCGACAATCCGGGTGGGCCTTTGCGACTGGGGAGAGGCGGGGGCGCTGCAGAGCCATCCTGGCCTGGGCCTCCTGGGTCCGTGTGCCCAGTGGCCTGAGTCGGATCTGGGTGAGCAGGGCCTGGACGTCTCTGCGGCAGGGCAGTGTCCAGGACCAGGGCTATGTTGCCTCACTGTCCTTGGGGAGTCAGAGAGAAGAAAAGGTCACTGTCCTTAGGGAATCACACAGAAGAAAAGGGAGAGAACCTGCCCGTCCCCTGTCCCCTGACACAAAGACTTTGCAGATTTTCTCTATGCGTAAGTGTGCTCATTTACAAATTAAAAAAAACTTGTTTTTTACTAGCCATAACGTGTCCGTGCGTGCTAAGTGTAGGCCTCTTTGCGACCCTTATAGACTGTAGCCTTCAAGGCTCCTCTGGCCATGGGATTCTCCAGGCAAGAATACTGGGGTGGGTTGCCATGCCCTCCTCCAAGGGGATCTTCCTGACCCAGGGATTGAACCCAGGTCTTGTAAGCCTCCTGTGTTGGCAGGGGGGTTCTTTACCACTAGTGCCACCTGGGAAGCCCTTGTAAAGTGTATCTGTTGTTTACTACATTGTGCATGGCTTTCTGGGTCAATAACTGTGCCCAGGTTGCCATCTGCATGGCGGGCTGTTTGCAGCTGCAGTGCCAGAGGCTCTGAGGGCCTCTGCTCACTGCAGCCATGCTCTCAAGTGTTCGTGCTGTGATCAGCATTGGCAGCATTTACCAGCACAGTTTAGAGAGGTTGAGAGTGGCTCCATGTGTTCCTCCAAGCTCAGATGTGACCTGGATGCCCCTTTCTTGAAGGGCTCAATAACCTGAGGCTTCGAGCCTTTGGGGTCCACCAGGGGCAGGTGTCTCCCGCCTCACTTTCAGTCTCCTCATGTGTGAAAAGGGTGCTTGTGGGGTCTGCACACGGGGTGCAGTGAGAACCTAACAAACGTCCAGTGCTTGAGAGATGCCCAGCACAGGTCACCCGCCAGTCATGGTGACTACCCGGCCTTGCCGATTCCTCCTCAGGCTTCAACTGGCTAGTGCGCAGGAAGAGACAGGCCCATCTCTGTCTCCGGGCACTCCGGGTGTAAGCTCTGCCAGCGCAGCTGAGTCCTGACCAGGACTACTCAGCCTATTGAAACAGAAGCTCCGAGAGTCGGCAGGGGGCCCATCTGGTCGGGTCAGCCCTGCCACCTGCTATCCGTGTCCACACCTTGCCCTGGTGCAGGGCCCCGTGTGGGGGTGGGGTGAGGGGTATTCCGGACTCGAGCCCTGCCCCAGACCACCCTCCTACCTTTTCTTCAGCTCGGTCCACTGCTGGCCAGGGTCCTCCTGTCTGGACAGAGGCAGAGGCCCAGGGCTGGGAGACCTGAGGCAGTGTCCAGCACATGTGTGGTCAGCGGGCGGCGGCCTGGCTCCACGCCTCTGCCCTGGACCGTGAGAGGGGCAGGGATGCGCCTGTGGGGCGTCCTTGTGTCCACACTCCATGTAGAGGCAGCGCCTTGGAGTAAACTACGGCAACTGAGGTGGGGGTGGGGGGGCAACTGAGCAATCAGTGCGCAGACCTGCGGGTCACGGAGGCTCCTCACGGGAGGAAGTGGAGTGACCCTGCAGCGTGGGGGTGGGAGTTGGGGTGGGGCACGAGGGGCTGGGCTGGGGAACCTGGGGGTGGAGAGCTGGGCGGGACCCGGCGGGGAGGGGCGGGGATCGCGAGAGGGAGCGCAGAACCCGGAGGGGTCTCAGGATGGAGGAAGGGGCACTGGATGGGGAGATGGGGAGCGGGACGGGGGATGGGGAGCACGGAATGGGGGAGGGGGCGCGGGTCGGAGTGGGCGCTCAGGACCGGGAGGGACGCAGGACCCGGTGCGGGCGGTGGGGTAAAGACCCGGCCGGGCTCCAGCCGAAGTCCGCGCTGGCAGCGCAGGAGGAGCCCGACCATCCCCAGGGTCCAGCTCGTTTTCCTTCCCTGGGCTGTCAAGATTTGCTGGAGACCCCGACAGGTCTTGTGGAGGCGCCCCAGGCGGGAGCGATCCCGGGTTGAGAGTGACAGTGCGGGGTGACACTCTTGTGGTCGTGTTTACTCCCCTTCCTCCTACCTGCTCTGGCTCTTGACTCCCAAGGTGCAGGGACCCCCCACACCGACAGCGTAGGGTCCGGGCTGTGCGGAAATGACGGAAGAGGCAAGGCTGAGCATACAGGCGTGAATCCTGTCATTGTATTAAAATATCACGTGAAGTTCACACTGAACAGATTTTTGTAACAGATCAGATACAAATAAGGGCATTCTGTGTTTACAGTCTGCATAACGTTGCCTGACGGGTTGTGTTGCTCTGGGTGTGGTGCCCTTTTTCTTCTCACTAAAGTGCATGTTCTAATGATTGGATAGCGAGGCTGGTCAGTTTGATCCTTAAAGATTCCCTCTGAGCTGGGGAAGGAGACCTCTCTGCAAAGTTTGTGTGTTGGCTACAACTGCTTTGGAGGTAACCAGTAAGTGTGTGTTTGAGATGTAAATAGGATGAGCTTTGGCAGGGCTTATGTTTTTAGGAGGTGACCCCACAGAGACACACACACCTGTTTAGGCAAACAGCCGTGGGGATGGGACCAGAAACGATCATGCTGCTCCCACGAGGGACAATTAAATCAATGAACTTCTCCAAACACTGGCAGCTGTGCAGCCCAGTACAGAGTGAGGAGGCCACTGGCCTGTGAGGTGAGGACTGAGTAGCGGCTGGTGACCGGGGGGGAGGCAGTATAGCTTCATGGTTTGAATCGGCAGCCGTTTTTACTCCATTACAAGGGTTAGCTCACCTCGTCACCGTCACAGGCTCAGGCTGTGGCTGTCAGAGTCCCGGTGTCACAGAGGGTGAAGCCGAGGTGCAGAGGGGCTGTGTGCTGGAACACCTGGTGTGGGACACAGGAGAGGGATGCCAGGACCACGTCTGGGATGAGCAGTGTCGACGGGCTGATCGTTTCCACTCTGTAACCTTTCCTTGTACAGATGTCAGAAGCCAGTGAACAACAACAATCAAACCTTTTTTGGTGGCTGCCCTGTCACCCTCCCCGTCTAGAGCCCTCACACCTTCTCTGCCCCAAGGGAGAACCTAGTCCTGGGAGAGCACAGGGCCGGGCAGGGTGTCGCCACAGGTGCTTCTGAGGCCTCACCAGGGCCCCTGTCCAGCCTGCAGGCTTCCCCTGGAACCTAAGAGGGCAGCGGGCTAAGAAAAGGCAGGTGGTCCAGCCTAATGGCCAGCCATGCCATGCTCACCACATGACCCCCTGAGTAGGTAGCTGCCTGACCGGATCCAGCCAGCAGTGGCCACTCAGCACCTTTAGGCTCCTGGGAGCAAAGCACAGTTCTGCTGGTGGGCCTGCCCTCCTCCTCCCACTCCCTTCTGACTGTGTGATGTGATGCTGGAGATGCAGCAGCCCCCGGCACCAGGAGGGCACGACTCGTGCTAAGGAAGACGCGAGATGCTGAGGAGGAGATAAGCAGCTCGCTTCCTGGTGTTACCCTTGGGCCTCATGGCAGGTGCATGGGGCCTTTTGTGTCTGGATTGTGTTGCCTGGATTGTGGAGCAGCAACAAGAGACTCGCGCCCCGCCCCCCCCCCCCCCCCCCACCATGGTCCCAGGGAGAATGAAGCTGGTCTGCCTGGCATCCAGGTCCAAGCTGGTGCGGGGAGGTCCTGGACTGTGATTTTAAACCACTCCTGTTGATTGTTCCAAGCATGTAGCCCAAAGAGTCCTGCCTGGGGGAATTGAGATCACGCAGGTTCAACAGGCAACAGCACACAGGGTGCTTAGTACCTTGGAACTGACAGTCCTTCCCGGGCAGCCAAGACCCTGAGCAGCAACAAGAGACTCGCCCCCTTGTGGTCCCAGGGAGAATGAAGCTGGTCTGCCTGACATCCAGGTCCAAGCCGGTGCTGGGAGGCCCTTGTCCTATCTTTAACCACTGGAGCGGCCCATGTGAGTCCACCCCTCCTGGCCCGCTGAACCCCTGCTCCACACCTGTCTGGAGAGCTCTTCCATGCTGCCGTGATGGGAATTTGTGGTGAGGACTCAACAGAAAGGTTGTGAAGATATCTGGGACCTTCCTTCACCAAAGACATAACGTTGCCAGGTACACTGAGGTGATGCAGGTGACGGGGAGGCCATTTCAGATGGTGGTATGTGCTGAGAAGGACATAGGGCATGGGATGCCGGAGGCTGATGGGCAGTGAGTCCAGAGAGTTGCCTTCTTGGACGAGAGGAGATACTCAGATGGAAACGTGTCTTCGGGCTGAGGCTCCGGGTGGGCTGGCCAGTGGGCTGAGGGTGAGGCTGGTGGCGGTGGCCACAGGAGGGATGTGTTTGGCCCCTGGTAGAGTTTCTGCTCCCCAAGGACTGGGGTTATTGTCTGTCTACTCATGGCTGGCCAGGTGTCTGGAACACGACCTGGCCAGAGGCAGGTTCTAAACAAGTATCTTTTGAATGAATGGACAGTCTGAGTGTGGAGATGCACAGGACGGACAACATCAGGCTGCAGAGTAGGGGTTAAGTAGATTAGGAGGCAGAGATGGGAGAGAGGCATACAGGGTTTCTATTTTTTTTTTTTTAACTGACAGAAGTTTATTTTTTTATTTTTTTATTTTTTTGTTTTTTGGTGAAAACTACTTTTTTATTTTTATTTTTATTTATTTATTTTTTTAATTAATTAATTAATTTATTTTTCCCTGCCTCCCAGCCCCCACAGGGCTCAGCTCCACCCAAGCCCATCTGTTCCCCCAGACACTCTGTTTTTTTTATGGTGAACTCCCTCTGGCCTTCACTCACCTGTGTGTCCTGCCCTGAATGTCTTAAAAAGCAATTCCAAGTCTGTTCCCATCAGCTGTGCCTGAAGCCTCTTTATTCTTAAGCCAGGTGATCCCGAGGGCACCGACCAGAGATGGGGCCACTTCCCTGCTTGGGGATGGCTGGATCTTGTCTGAACTGTGGACTCTGCTTTCTTCACTCGTCTGCCCATTCAGGTCACTGCCTGGCCCAGAACTGGGAGTGTTCATGGGTCAGTGTGTCCCCACTGATTCTAGCAATCTGCCAGGCTGTGTACTGCTGGCTTGCATTGTGACACTGCTGCTTACCAGTGACACAGGGGCTGCCATAGAGCATAGCTCATGGGATGTCTGCTGGCCTCGGCTGGACTTTGCAGTCAGACTGAGAGCCGGAGGGTTGGTGGTGTTGGTGACTGTATATTTCATGTTTGGAGACATGTCTGGTTAGTTCTGCCCCTTTTTTTTTGATTGGGTTTTTTTTTGTTGTTGTTGCTGAGTTGTATAAGCTGTTTGTGTGTTTTGGAAATTAAGTCCTTGTTGGTCACATCATTTGGAAATATTTTCTCCCATTCTGGAAGTTGTCTTTTTCATTTTGTTTATGGTTTCCTCTGCTTTATTGTACAAAAGATTGTAAATTTGATGAGGTCCCCTTTGTTTATTTTTGTTTTTATTTCTGTTGCCTTGGGAGCCTGACCAAAGTAACCACTGGTATGATTTATGTCAGAGAATGTTTTGCCTGTGTTCTCTTCTAGGGGTTTTACCATGTCGTGTCTTGTGTCTTTATTGCTGGTGCCTGTTCTGATTGGCTGGTGTGTCAGTGCTTTGCCGGCGGGGACAAGTGTAAATTTGGTTGCAGCACTGGTGGGCCCGTGCCGATCCCTGACCTGTGGGTCTAGCCCGTCAGTGGGCATGCTGGTGGCCTCCATGCGCTAGCTTATGTGACGTGGCACTGGGTGGTCTTGGCTGAGGGTGTCGGCAATGGCCGAGTTGTCTGTGTTGTCAGCTTCCTTATTGCCATCTGCATCCGATGCTGAGACTTGCATCACAGAGGTTCCTGTGGGGACAAAGGGGAGGGGAGTTGATAGTTTCAGCCAATGTGACAAAGCAAACTAACATAAAATCTAAGATTAGATGTATCCCCTTGTAGTCCACTCATGATGGAGATGATCAAATGACATCTGATGATCCAAGTTCCAGTTCAAATACTTCACCACAGTATTATAATAGTTTCCACATGGTTTGTTTACTCTTCCAGAAATCTTTAGGGCATCCTTCGATGTGACTGTCACTATGGGGGGACAGGTTCCCCTTGATGTGATTAATTTCAGGGACTGGGAAACTGTTAAGTGCTGAAGGGGGGGGCAATGCTCCACACTCCCACCTTCCCATCACGCTCTGATCCCAGGCCCCTTCTGTCCTCCCTTCTCCCCAACCCTCGTCCAGGGAGTCCTGTCTGGACAATGGTCACAGGGCAGGAGATAGGCCAAGCACCCGAACCAGAGGGAGAGAAGTGGTTGGTGGGGGCTGGGCTGAGGGGTTAGGGAGCTGTGTCCTGGTGGTTAGAGCCAAGCCTCTCATGTTTGGTCCACTGATAGGGTCTGAGACGGCCTTGGCCTCACATGGGTGATCAGAACACAGCTTGTCTGCCTGCTGAGCAGTGTCGGGGCAGAGGAGGCAGCATTAGAGGCTGCTGGTTGCAGGCCCGGAGGGGAAGGAGAACTTCCCGGCTTCCTTTCCTTTGAAACACCTGGTACTTTTCAGTCCCAGGTGTAGGTCAGAGAACTGGGTATATGGCCATGGCACCAACAGAAGCTTCCCAAGAAGCCGTGGCTCAGGCGTCCCTGAGTCTGTCAGCAGGACAGTGCCCCAGGAGGGAGAGTTTGGGCCTGTATTTGGAATGATCAGTCAGATTCCTGTTTTCAGGGGCAAGAGTTGGGAGCTGAAAAGGACAACAGGCAGCTGAGCAGGGAGGGGATGGGAGCAGCCATGGGGAGGAGGGCCTGACAGCAGGAGTGATGCAGAGGGGTGGGGCCACTGATGGGTGACCCCGGTCAGTGGGTGGCCCTGGACAGCAGATAGTGGCAACCCCACAATCCCAGAAAGGCCCCCTTGCTGTGAGATGCTGCCTCCCTCACTCCCCCGGCCCTGTTCCAGTTCCAAAGCTCAGGACAAGGGTTTCTACTGCTTGAAACCACAAAAGCCCTTTGCAGTCCTGGCGCTGCCCCTGCTTA